CACAGCTATAAATCATAATAATGGCATTATATTATTATTATTATTATTTATTATTGTTCTTATCGTTTTGTTTTTCTTCCCTCATCTGGACCAGTCATTCTGTGTTTGCATGTGTCTCCTTCCTGTTCTCTCAAACCCCGTCCAGTGGAAACTGATGGCCACCCATCCTGAACCCAGTTCTTCTGCTGGAGGTTTCCTTCCTGTCAAAGGGGAGTTGTCTCTTATCAACGTGCGTTCTGCGCAGGATGGGAGACGGAGACGAAGTAAAGACTCGACAAATTTTCTGGCCTTAGACTGATGACTTTTACCATAATGTATGTGAATGTGTTTTATTATTTAGCTTACACTGCCTTGAATTGGATTTTGTTGCAGCTAGGCCTATTTTTAAATAAACTGAATTGAACTGAAATGAATAAGTTGAATTAATTTGAACAAAAGTTCTAAGATTGAAGTAAACAAGAACCCAATGAGAAGGCGAGGATGTCCTGCAAAGTAGGTTACAAAGTAGGCCACACTCATCTTTCTCCAAAGGGTAGTCCCTATGCAGAACCTCCTAAGTGGTTTATAAATTCCCCACGAACGCATCACAGCTTCAGTAGCAACCAGCGTGACAAAGAGAGATGGGTCTGGTTTCTTCTCAGAAAGCCACTACTGTGTACTCAGCCTATCACTGATTCTGGTATTCTTAGTAGCGATGTCCTACTTGAGATGTGTTCCACCAGCCCATCTGTGAGGAGTTCTGATGCTGCTTTTTATTTTCCATATCCTCAGTAACGGCTGCATGCTGCGTTTAGACCACATATAGTTCTTTTTTTATCCACTTCAGTAATAGTTTGAAGCTGACTGGTCCCCCCCCCCCCCCCCACACACACACACACATTGGAGCAGCTGTCAGGACAGAGGAAGGTTCATTAAAAATTAAAAAGAAAAGCAGAAAATTATCCGTCTGGTTTTTTTTTATCAGCTATTAAAACGGCTTTAAAAATGTCCAATTACTTTGTTGATCTGGGACCATTTAAAGAATTTGACTGAGAGGAAATTCAACTCACTAATGACCCCTATTTTATATTCATATAGATGTTATATAAGGCAAAGAAAACGATAGAACCGCAGCATTAAATCTTTATGGAACATGAATTCAAGCTGCGCTACACTAAATATCCAGCAGTTACAGAGCTGCTAGCTCGTACTTTTTAATTATTTAGCTTTTTAGATCTACAAATTAGTGTTGTGAGACATTTTATCTTTATTGTTAATCTCAGAAAGGCAGGATTAACGAAGGAGCTCACGTCATGTAAAATGATATAGTTTGATGCAAATCACTTCACACTGAGGCACACAGCAGCAATGTTAATACCTAATCAAAAGGCGTAAGATTATAATATTATAGTAAGCAAATTCTAAATTTTTCCATCAGACAAGACAAATTACCGTAGTTATCTATTAAATGAACCCAGCTAAAATTCTCTTTTTTATCCTTTACTTGGCTAGAATACAGGATTTCTGAAGTCAGACTAGATAAAATCAAAGAAAATGACCCTAGAGTTCAGGGCTATTCAACAAAATTGCAAAGGGGGGGGGGGGGGGCAGTTACTGAAATCCAGCAGCTCAGGGGCCGCACATCCAGCAATTAAAGTCATTATGTAAATAAACCAAGTATTACAATGATCTGTTACCTTTTAAATTTGTTTGTTTTTAATGCATTTAATTAGATAGATAGATAGATAGATAGGTAGATAGATTTTAATGCATATAGATAGATAGATTTTAATGCATATAGATAGATAGATTTTAATGCAGATAGATAGGTAGATAGATTTTAATGCATATAGATAGATAGATTTTAATGCATATAGATAGATAGATAGATTTTAATGCATTTAGATAGATAGATAGATTT